ATGTTAAATCAACCTTAACTAAATGTTAATTAACCTTAACTAAATGTTAATTAACCTTGACTAAACATTAAATTAACCTTGATTTTAAACATTGATTTCAAACATTGACTAAACATTGATTAAATATTGACTAAACGTTAAATTAATCTTGATTTCAAAACATTGACTAAACATAGACTAAATATTGACTAAACGTTAAATTAACATTGATTAAACATTGACAATTACATTGACTAAACGTTAAATTAACGTTAAATTAACGTTAAATTAACATTGATTAAACATTGACAATTAACATTTATTAACATTGATTAAAAAACGTTAAATTGACCTTTTTTATTTTTAACATTGACTAAACGTTAACCAAACATTAACGTTTTAACCAAACGTTAACGTTTTACCAAACGTTTAACCAAATGTTACCGTTTTACCAAACGTTAATGTTAACATTTAACCAAACGTTAACGTTAACGTTTAACGTTAACGTTTAACCAAACGTTGATCAAACGTTAACCCAAACGTTGATCAAACGTTAACAAACGTTGACCAACGTTGAGCAAACGTTGACCAAACGTTGACCAAACGTTGACCCCAAGCATTGATCAAACGTTAACCAAACGTTGATCAAACGTTAACCAAACGTTAACCAAACGTTGACCAAACGTTGACCAAACGTTGACCAAACGTTGACCAAACGTTACTTTGAATTTTATTTTATTTTTTTTTTTAAAAAAAAAAAAAAAACAATACCTTAACTTTTATAGCCCATCTCGGAGATATGGTTATAAAAGTTAAGGTATTGATTTTTTTATGTCAATCACAGTACGTAGTATTGCTAGCTCAGTATGTATAATATTATGAATTTTATCTTTTTATTGATAGGGTTGAAAGCAAGGATTTTCGTTAAAATAATAAACTTTCCTGATGTTATTTCAATCTTTTAATAAATGTTCGAATTAATCTTAATAGCTTCAACCTTTTACTAAGATTTTATATTATAAATATACATGCAAATTTAGAGGTACCGGTACGTACTGTACATTAAAATTAGACAATGGCGCCCAAAGATTTGCATTACATGATGTTTTTATAACAAAAGTAGAAATTGAAATTTTCGCACTATCACTATATAAATCACTATTTGTACAGATTTTCGTAAAAATGTTACGATCTAAATTTTTGTTACGTATCAGTTTTCGGCTTTAAATTTTCCTTAGAAAATTTTTCTGATCGAAAAATAATAGAGTTGGAAATCACCCGATGTCAAAAATATTTAAAACACATTCTGGATTAAAATTTTTAATATAGCGATAGTGCGAAAATTTCGATTTTGGCACCACGATAATGATAACGGGAATAAAATAACCAATCACGTGGGGATCAACGGTAATTAGAATGTTAAATAGTTATTTTAGGAAGAAGAGCACGTTCGCACCCCTTAACGTTAATAAATTACTAGATCATGAATCGTGAATTATGACGACGACTATGACTACGATATTGAATAAAGAGGATAAGAGGATTATAACGACTATTATAAATACACTTTACAAGTTCGATAATTCTAATAAGAGAATTGGATGTTATGAAAAAAATGATGGGAACTTTATTGTTATTTACGGGGCTAAATCATTTGAATATAACAATTTGGAAAAAACTTTAACTGAAGTAAATCAAGATATAAACGATCTCCTAAGAAATCTTAGTATTGAAGGTATTAATAATAATTACGACTGGTATTTTAATAAATTTGGGGTGGACTTTTTCATTAAGATTTCAGTATAGACCAAGATAATTCGCTCGAAATTGAGGAATTAAAAAAGGAGAATGAAGGTATTATTTTGTTTAGATTTTAATCCGATATTAGCTTAAAAGTTAACTTATTTTATTTATAAAAGATTAATTTATTATATCGATATTTTAGTTAAGTCGATCGAAATCGAGGAATTAAAAAATAAAAATAAAGGTATTATCTTATGCACCAGGCAATAATAGCCTAAAAGTTAATTTATCCATTTGTTATATTAGACTTGGAGCTCGAAATTGAAAAATTAAAAAAGAAAATTGAAGGTATAGTGCGGTCTAATAATGTACTTAGGTGTAAAGAATAATTAATTTAATAGTTTATTATTCAGGAAATTTGATCCCTGAACTGTCTACCAAGGAGATAGAAAGAATCAAAAAATATTTCTTTCTAACTGCAGAAAATCTCTCTGAAAACTCTGATGATGAATCCACAATTCGCGATGAATCATCCATTACTGGACCTAATGAACATTCCGCAAGCCCCTCTAATGATATTAATTATCTCATCGTCCTCATCAATAATCTTACAAAAAAATCTAACTTAGAAGGGATTGGATAATAAATGAAGCTTGTATTTTATATTTTGGTGAAGTATAAATCAAATAATAAACACAGATTAAATGGCCTATACGTCTAAACGCTCTTGTTAAGCACCTTCTATAACCCGACTATTGTTTTTTTTTACAATTAACAGTTTTTATATTCACTTTTTTTTGTAAATATATATTGTTTTTTTTTTGGTTTAATGTTTTTTATCCTTTTTTGTCCTCTTTATCATAATTTCTTCTAATTTTTCGGTTTTTTTTTTAATGTTTTCTACTGGGTTATCTAGTAGAAAAGTTATTATTATTATTAAAGTTAACATTAATGTTACGGTTAACATCTGATTTCGATATACATATTCATCATTTTTTGAATTTTAAACCTTTTTTGAATTCTTTATTTTTGCATTTTTAGCAAAAATCCTTTGCATAAATACTACACTGAAAAAGACAAATCAATTGTCTGCTTAATTTAACCATTGGTAGTTTGAAGTATCAATGAACAAGAGAAGTGATCCAGCTTGTAAATTAACATGTAATTCTATTGTTATTATTGGATTATTCATTTAATTATTTGTCTAGCTAAAGCAAATTTTGAAAATGTTTTTCAATCATTTACTATTTTTAATGATCAATATATTATGCTAGTAAAAAGTTTGTAATGTTGGTGAAATTGTTGTGTGATAATGCGCTATTTAATATGAAGTTCCATAAATTACAATCTCATCAGAAATACGAATTAATTCTACCAAAATTATGTTTACTTGAGGTACGAATTAATTCTGCCAGAACTAGAGTTACTACCGAAGTTATATTTACCAGAGTTCTACAAATATTATGTTTACCAAAGTTATGAATTAAATTCTACCAAATGTAATTCACTTGATGTAAATTTTACGTAACTTACATATGTAAGTTATATAAGCTCAAAATAACTTCTAGAGATAAAATTATAAAATTTGGCCTAAATTATACTTAATTTAGGCTATAGCTTAATAACACTTTTGCCTGTTGCGTAATATTTATTAAGCTAACGCTGTCACATAATTTAGCCAGCTTTAGTAACTTACATAGGGGCCATATAAGTTACAGCGTAACTTACCATGTAAAGTATATTGTCAGGTAAGTTTTAACAACCTTAATTAAATTCTACCACATTTATGTTTACCAGAGTTACGAATTAATTCTACTGACATTATATTTACCAGAGTTACATATTAATTCCACTATCATTATGTTTACCATAGTTTATATTAATCACGTGAAATTATATTTAATTTATAAGCTTATTGAACTGACTGACCTAATGGAGCTTTTATGTGCGGCATATATAAAGTAAAATTTTACACGATTCTGTTAAATCTAGTAAGTTTATTGACTAGATCCTTTGTCAGTTCAAAATTTATTTTTAGAAGGTTGATAAAAAATATTTACTGAGAATTCTCTACTCGAAAATTTAGTGCAATGCACAAAAAAAAGTAAAATTCACATTACACACTTGTAAAAAATCATCTTATTGACTGACCCTTATAGAAGTTCAAAAATGATTTTGAGATTCTAACAAGTCATTAAAGATTATTACACACATGCAAGATTTGGTATGCTCGAAATAATACAATAATTTATACTGTACAATAATAAATTTATAAAAACATTGCATTGTTGCCAAATAAGTAATACTGTACTGATACAGTACACATATATGTATTAGCCTTAGGACTTATTTTACATCATTTACTTATTGTAACTTGTAGAGTTTTGGATGTTAACGTTAAATAGTTTATTCAACTGCTGTATAAATATTTGGCTTCTTATCATGTATTTTTCTCTTCTGACTATTTTTAAAATACTTCGTCAGGTTAAAGTAGTTCCAAGATTATCATTTTCAATTTCTATGATGAATTCAAAATTATCATTATCTTCAACTGCCATGATGAATGATGGTCATAAAATTCCATTGATAGGTTAATTCTATTATTTAGGCAAATCATTTATTCTTCTCGAAAAAATACACAGAATTAAAACTTAGTATTAATTGTTTTATTCCATAAATGAAAGCCATAGGAATGGGTGGAGTGGGTGATAACACCGAAGCTCCCCAAGATAAAACTACGCAAGATGTCATTTTATGGGCTCTAGAGTGTTATTTTGCGCCTATATGGTAGGAATTGTACCTGGGCCATCTATAGTAGGCAGGTGTCCACGTTGTGGCTTTCTCGTGAATGCATAAGATATTTTCTTATTCCATGAAAATTTTGCTTGATAACGCAGATCAAGGTTACGAATCAACTCTCAAAGCCACCAAAACTTCTTTATCAAAACTTCAAACTTCTTATATAGACTTACAGGTACTTTTTTTTTTTTTTTTTTTTATTAATTACTGCTTATACATTCTCCTAGACCTGGCCCTCAAAAACGTGTTAAAAGTTATAAGACCTTACAAGAATTAGTTAAGCAAGGAAAGGTTAGAAGTATTGGGGTCTCAAATTATGGTGTAAAACATTTAAAGGAGCTGATGAATATTGATCCTGAGATTATACCTGCCGTTAATCAAATTGAGGTAAATAAAAAATTTTTATATCATATTTATGATAATTTTTTTCAAAAAAAATACTTCAATATTTAGATTCATCCTTGAAATACTCGAAAAGATATTGTATCATATTGTGCCGAACATAATATTATTGTGGAAGCTTTTTCTCCACTTACCAGAGAAAAAAAATTAAATGATTGTGTTCTTGTCGGCATTGCTGAGAAATATAACAAATTTACTGCTCAAATCTTGATTCGTTGGGTGAGTATTTATAAATTATCTTAATTATATTTGAATGTTTCTTTAATAGAAACTTGAGGAATGTTACTATTAGTATTTATCTAATATAAAAGTATTAAATTTAAACCTTTTACAGTGTTTTCAAAATAATTTTATTATATTACCAAAAAGCATAAATAAAAACATATAATTGATAATACCAAAGTTTATGATTTTGTGATTGAAGAAGAAAATATGAAAACTCTTGAAAGTTTAAATGAAAATTTTATTGCCGGTGGTATGTTAAATATTCTTGTCTTCTGATGGTTCTATTTTTTGTCATCTAATTGTTTTTTTTATAGGATAGGATCTGAGCACTTCGGATTAATTGATGCATATATTATTTTTATTCTCAAAACTTTCTATAAAATATACATACTGGTGTGTTCAGTACGCACATTTGCCAAATTGATTTGATAATTTGATTTTTTTTTGTGCATTTGTAAAAGTTGCCTATTTTTCAATATTTTCTAATTTAAGTAATTTAAATTTAATATATATTGTACAAATTTAAAAGTTAAATTATATATTCTTTGATAATAGCTTAGAACCAAATTTATAATGATTTAGCCTAGAATTCCCACAATATACGATCGAATCAGAGAATTTTTCTCTCAATTAGGTATATAGTATAACTTACTAATGATGGAATGAATCATGAGTTTTGTCCTTCGCTATTGTGCAGTCTATCATATCAAGCATCTAATTATTTTTTTAAAGGCAAATCGGGATTTCGAGAAAAATCTGCGCTATTGGATTGCCTATTACTATGTTACATGGTTTTTATTAAATAGGATTTTGGACTACACTCTCTAAAAAATGTTCCAAAGCGTAAATCTAACAACATAAACAAAGAACATTTCATAAAGACTCAAACAGTTACACTGATTTCAAATAGTTTCTTTCTTAAGTTAAAACAAATATTTAAAATAGATATTTTTGCAACTATGCAGAAATTGGTAATACATAAAAATACAGAAAAAATCTGTACTGGTTTTTCCTAAATAGGATTCTTTTAATTGACTTTCATGCTAACTGCATTTTAAAATTTGTCTTGAGTGAAATGATTTCGAAGCTTCTTTTTAAATAAATTGGTAAACATAATGGGAACTCTGGCTGAAAAAAGATATCGATATTACTTCTACTTATGTTTCTATAGATAGGTGAATATAAATCTTTATCATTGCATTTCTGGTTGTTCATTAAATTTGACAAAACTACAGAAGGTACCCAAAATATTAGATGGTTTTTTGTACAAAGTTATATAAACCATATAAGCTCATTATTAGTATAATATTTTGAGCATCCCTTTATATTTGTCTTAAAAATAATAAATAATATTTTTAATAATTAAATTAACAGGGAGTATGTAGAAGTTTGTTATATCATATTGAATCATTTTTAAATAACACATTTTTAATGAATCACTTTAATTATTAGATGGTATATATAAACTTAATTAGATTCATAAATATTTTTTCTCGATATAACTTTCTAATCAATCACATTCTGCTAAATTCTAGTTTGTAAGTATAAAGTTAATTGGACTACGATATTCCTAAGTAAAACTTCTCTAACCAATTATATTCATACCAATTAACAGAGAGTGAGTATAAATTTATTATATTAATAGTTAAAATAATAGTTAATTTTATAATTCATAAATGGTATTCTCTGATTAATAATACCTGTTAATCAGTAAGTATTAAATCATTATATTCACATTTGAATCAATACATTTAAATAAATAAAATAATACATTTTTAATCAATTAAATTAATAGTTTGTAAATATTAAGTTTATTAGATTTCAATAATTTTTTATTATAAATCACACATTTTTAACCAATTACAAACAAATTAAATTACTAGTTAGTAAGTATAAAATTACTGGATTCATCAAAATAACACTAGTCTAATAATTATATTTAGTCAAATTACTAGATTGTAAGTAAGGTTATTATTTAAAATGAAAATTCTTTTTCAAATAATGCTTCTCTAATAAATCGCATTTGTATTAAATTGCTAGTCAGCAAGTATAACATTTATTGTAAAATCAATAACATAATTTATATGTAATTAATAAAATTTGCATTTGTATCAAATAATTAGGTGA